TACTTGAAATAGTTTTAAATCTTTAACTAAAGTGTCGTTTAGTTATCTTTGGATTACACTTTTATTGAGTGCATTGGCTGTCAAAACACTAAAACAAAACATAAGGACTCAAAGGAAACAAAACACATTTGTTGTCTTAATACCAATGCTCTGCAAATCCCAAAGACCTCACACTCTATATGTTATTAATATTAAATCCAATCTTTAAATTAAGTCTATTAAGTAAATCGCTTCAAATTAATTATAAAAATATTGTTTATGTTTTAATTGTTTGAATCTGAATACTGTATTTTTAAGGTATCTAATATTGTAACCTCACTTTAATAAATCATTAAATTAATGAATAAATATTTAATATTATATGTAGGAGTATTTTAATAATTTATTAAATTGTTCAGTAATATTCTTAATCAAACAAAAAATAAACACAATATAATAACATGCATTTTAGTTGATGATAATCTAGTTCAATCTAACATTTTTATAACTTCAAAGATAATATGACTTAGTCTAAGGAGTATACTATTAATCAGACAACTAAAATTAAAAAACAAAAGACATTAATTGAATATATGAAAAGTTTTTCTAGAAAAAAAACTAAATATAAATTCAGTGAACAAATATTTGATTTGAAAATGTTATCATAATTTAGTGAAGCGTTCAATTGTTTGCGAATAAATATAATATTTCAAAATCAGAAGATTGTTAAGAGTTGTTTCAACACTGAAAAAATGAAATGTAAGTTAAAAACAATTCATTTGATGGTAACGTCGGGTGAGTTGACGGAGGCTTTCGGTGGTTCGCACTAACGATCTCTTTGACTAAAAGCATATAATGCCTTCAATTGGTAAAAAGTAACTAAACTTTTAGGAGAACTTAGAATTTAAAACTACTTTAACTCAAAAAAGTAAACTTTAATTTCTAATAATTTTTAAAAACCTTTCAACACTTTTTAAGCGAATAGAGTAGATGTTGAGATGGGATGGGATGTTGCCTTTCAAATGTGGATGAGTAGGGAAAGTAGCTTTCATTTGTATTTAACATAATCTAATTATTTTTAAATGTTATTTTTAACATTACATAGCGTTTTAACATTTTTCATTAAAACATACGAATTAAATCTGGATATAATAGTAGACATAATGTAGTTATACAACATTCACGACAAGTGTTAATATTTATTAACGTCGGCACAGTGGTTTGTTATTTTGTAAAATTTCTTAAATACTCAACTCAGTTTTTATATTTAAAACTTCACATAAAAATATTTTTTCTCTCATACGACCAAACTTTAATGACTGTTCACAAATTGTTTGAGTTCTACGATATACCAATTATAATCCATAAGACTAGTACCAATACAACATACTTTTAAATGAAGAATATTTCTAAAAATAATATTCAATTAATAACAAATTAAAACAAATATTCAAAATAGTCTAATTGTCTGGTGTATGGATGAAATACAAATAAAAGTTTCATTATAACTTCATTTAGAAATGATTGATATTATAATTTTTGAGGAGATGGAGTATTAGATAATTACAATTTATTATAAATATTATTAATTGAGATTAGTAATGTAATTATAAAGACAATAGTTTTGTGTCTAGAAAACTAAGACAAGGTTTTATTGAATTACTTAATGAAATAAGGACTGAAACCAAGGATAGTTGATATAAATTATAAATAATATTAAGTTATAGAAATGAATGTCACATAACATACCGGACAAGTTTATTAATGTAGTAAATATAACAGAATAGTAAAAGTTTTGACATAAAAGCTCGAGTTTTGATAATTTCATAATATATAATATGTTGTGTTGAAATAAGATTTAAACTTATAAATCCGTTATTTATATTTATTTAGTATTAATATTAATAAAATTCAGCACAATTTTAATACATAATTGAATAAACAATTTGAAAGCAATAAGATTTAAAAATTTTCATTAAGTATTGCTTAAATCAGAAAATATATTAAATTTCGTGAATAAGAGAGTGAAAGAGAGTGGGATTTGTGATGAGTTTCGCTGAGTTTTGAACGGCAGTCGAGTTGGTCTTCAACTTATCGAAGGACTACTGTTTTCAGTCGTAAAAACTCCGATAAAGAGCTGATGTTATGTGCGCTGCGCTGAGACAGAAACCAAAGAATTGAATGCCTGTGCAGTCATACCAGTGCTTGCGATGCCCTGTGATGTGCAGTGAATAGACTTCTGGATGAGAGAGAGAGAGAGAGAGAGAGAGAGAGAGAGTAATAAGATTTAAAAATTTTCATTAAGTATTGCTTAAATCAGAAAATATATTAAATTTCGTGAATAAGAGAGAGAGAGAGAGAGAGAGAGAGAACGAGTTGTATGGTATCAGATGAGGACTGATGTGATGGTGAATGTGTTGTACTATTCCTCAACTCAACACCAAAATAATAGAACAAATATTTTGATGAACTGTCCGTCCAATCAGACATACCATAGAGTACTGTAAGATTGTGTGGACTCATTGATTGCCACTGTATTTGCATAGCTATCCAATTCACAAGATCTAAACTATCCTAAACTCATCACTTATTCTAGTATTTTATATAAACATTTTAATTCTCAATAAATTGTAAAATATAATTTTAATATTTAAAAACTTTTAATCATTTGTTAATGAAGAATATGTCATAAGAATGTAATAATAAAAATGGATTGTTTAATGCCTTTTTACAAATATAATTAGATGAATTGTGATTAATTTATCCAAAATTTTCTAGACATTTACTATTAGTCAGTATTTCTTGAATCTCAACATAAAATTTTAATAAAAGTATTGTATTTAAAAATAACTATAAAATTTATATTAAATTATTCTCAGTCAGACATATCCAAACATAAATTATAGAAATTAATATTATAAAATTGTAATATAAGGTTTTGTAAGGGATAATATGAAATTGAAAGTAATTGAAATGAAATCCGGTATAAAATAAAATGCAAACAATAAAAACAAATATTGTTAACAAATATTTTGATGAACTGTCCGTCCAATCAGACATACCATAGAGTACTGTAAGATTGTGTGGACTCATTGATTGCCACTGTATTTGCATAGCTATCCAATTCACAAGATCTAAACTATCCTAAACTCATCACTTATTCTAGTATTTTATATAAACATTTTAATTCTCAATAAATTGTAAAATATAATTTTAATATTTAAAAACTTTTAATGAAGAATATGTCATAAGAATGTAATAATACAAATGGATTGTTTAATGCCTTTTTACAAATATAATTAAATGAATTGTGATTAATTTAACCACAGTTGTCTAGACATTTACCATTAATCAGTATTTCTTGCATCTCAACATAAAATTTTAATAAAAGTATTGTATTTAAAAATAACTATAAAATTTACATTAAATTATTCTCAGTCAGACATATCCAAGCATAAATTATAGAAATTAATATTATAAAATTGTAATATAAGGTTTTGTAAGGGATAATATGAAATTGAAAGTAATTGAAATGAAATCCGGTATAAAATAAAATGCAAACAATAAAAACAAATATTGTTTATCCACACCATTTTTAAAAATAAAATAATTATTTGGATATTTGGATATATCATATAATTTATTAATTAAAAGCCTAGAAGCTGAATTTAAATATTTGAATAATTCAAAACAAAAAAGTAGCAGCGAGAATCGATTGATTTAATTAAAAATGCACTCAATATTTGTATGCCTGGTAAACCATATCGATCATCCGTAAGTTTATGTGTCATTCATTATTGTTTGAGTTATAAAAATATGAAAACTGATTTGTTTAGTAGGTTTGATAGCAAATTAATTATGAAAGTCTCACTTTTATTCAGCCCTTCAGTTTGCTAATCATTTTAATAATAAACGTCAAAATGAGATATAAATAAAATCCGTATAAAAGACAATTTGAGCCGAAATCCTAAATATAAAACAAAAATTCTTGTCGAGTGTTTGCTAATTGAATCTATTTATTGGTTTTCAGCAAACATATAATTATGAAAGAAATGTGCGCTATTTCTACGATTTCTCTATAGGAGTTCATTTATTATATAAACTAATACTTACAGTAGTCCTATATTCTTATATATACAGTACTTACATGGTATTTATACACTATTAAAAAATATTCTTTAAAATTTTCTTAATAAAATATTGGTCTTATTTGAATAATTGAATTTATTTTCATTTAAGTAAAAATCAATTATAAAGGAATAACAAAAATGAATACAAAGTATGTTTCAATCTAAAGGCTTCAAAAATATTCTCGTTTAATGTATTCAATGAATTATAAAGTGACAGAAAGTGTAAGCCATTGATGGGAAACAGTTTTCATAGTTTCCAAGTAATCAGCGGATGAAATGGTAAACGTTTGGAGAATATATTTATATATTTAAAGTCAATACTCGTATTCATTAGTGAGATGTGAATAATTAAGAAGTGGTGTGAATACAAGCCGTGGAAGTAATGCGTGGGTTATCGACAACACAATCGACACATTAGAATAAATGCCACAATAATTGGCAATTGAGACCATAATAAAGATATTTTTGTATAAAAACATTGCAATAGAGTTGAATCGACGTTCACTTGTGTATGCATTGAGTTGTTTTAAGAGTACAGTATTTCCAACGAAAAGACTTAATTATAGGTAAAAATAAGATTTTAACAAATGTTTTATTTAAGAAATTCTGGATTTTCTTACACTTTGCTTAAGCAAAGACTGGAAACAAATATATGATAATAAGTATTTCCGATGAATTAGTTTGCGTTATGAATGCCTGGAGTCTTGTTTAACTCAATTAGAAACAAACACATTATATTTTCATTTTCCCACAATTTATTACAAAATATTGTTAATCAATGAAATAATAATAAATTCTAAATAATAATATAATTAATAGTTTTTATTTGTATATCACATAAACTGTTTTTTATATAATACAAGAGATAAAAATATGATAACTAATGAAAATCTACTCATTTTTATCAAATTTTTCGTTTTGAAAATTCAGTTGCATTTCGCCCAATGAAGTAATCCTTACGTCAGAATCGCTACAATTTGTGACAATCAAAGAGTTATGACGATCGGCGTCCATATGTTGCTGTTGCTCGAAGGGTCGGTGCGGGTAATCGGGCGGACATATGGATGAGCCGTAGAGGTTGTGTTGAGTGGCCGACGCCTCCACAATGAAATGATAGAGCTTTGAGTACTTCTCTCTCGCCATCTCACGTAACATCAAGAGCTGGTCGTGTTGTGTCTCCAGTGAGTGCTTCTGTGAGAACATACCGTCCACTTCGTGCTGTAGACCCAGTATTTGATCCAACTTTCGCTTCCGACAGTTTTGTGCCGCGACTTTGTTCTTACCTTTGGTTATATCACAACAATATTAACAATAAATTTCAAACAAAATCTTTAGAAAGTCTTTTGAATAAAACATCGAAAAAGTGATACATTTATAGAAAGAAAATCGATTAACGGAATGAATAGGAAAGTCATATAAAGTTATATAAAAGGCAATGAAATGTGTGTCCAGTTGTGGAGAAGGGAATCAAACGTAAGATAAGAAAGTTATAAGAAGTGAATGGATGTGCGAATGGAGTCATACCTCGTCTGCGAATATCTCTGATGAGTGAGAGCTGCGCCTCATTTAACTCATATTTAGCTAATCTTTCGTTAAACTCATCGATCGGCAGATTAATAATATCTTGGGTTGGGATCGGAATGCGGAGAGCTTTGGCACGTTTCTCATCCCTATTGAGCTGCAGCTGCTCTTCGCTGAGACCCTCGCCATCAGAACTGTATTTTCGTGAACTCCTCGCCGCACAACTGGCCTTAGAGTTGGCCCATTGCTCGTGAATGGCAGCCATGGCATCGGCGGCCGAAACAGAGGGAACGCCATTCATCTCTGGGTTGTGTCCGCTCGGCATGTGATACGTGTGGTTGTGAGACACCGATGACACTGACGGCCCATTCATTAACAGATTGTGATTCTGTTGTGTTTGTGGCGACAAATCAGTGTAACAATAGTTGTCAGACAAGCTGTTATAGCCATCAGAATAGGAGCCATTGGCCTGCAGTTGATTTGTGTCGAGTCCTCGCGAGCTCTCAACACATTCGTAGTCCTCTTCCTTACATTCAGTCCGTCGACCAAATAATTTATACTTCTTTTGAGCGCTGTTTGTGTGACACAAACGATAGCCATTGGGAGTCATTCGAGTGGTGTATTCGCTATGATTTGGGTCGCCGTTGTGTGAAGACGTCTCCGAACACGAGTCGATCCACTCCTACAACACATCACTCATACAGTTATCACAACTAATAATGTTTGGGCGGACAGACTGTCCCTAAATATATAGCATATCTCATCAAATATGGTATGTTATTCGCATTGCAGGTAATGTAGTTTTCAAATCAATGACAAAAATACTATTAGAGATAATACGGCTCCTGTATTACGCCAATTGTGTACTCTTTTAAATTCAATTAATAAATCAAAAGCCAGTTATTGATAATTACTCTTTTATTTAAATATTTTAAGCTAACTCTCAATTTTGATAAGAATTTATATTAATTAGAGTAAAGACTGACAGATATTTAATTAAATTTTAGGATTCATAAAAATTTCATGTAAAGGCATATAAGTTATCGCAAAAATTTGGTCTAAATTTCGAGCAATTGCTTCAATACATCCGACAATTTATTATTAAAATTTCATTATTTAAAAAATTGTTCAAAAAATGTTATGAAAAGCACAAAAAATGGTTTGACAACAGATATAACCATCAATTTCAGTACAAATGATGCCTTTATTATATTGTTTGCTAACAAACCATAAACTTATTGTCAAATCATTTGTTATAATATTTACTAAAAAATTTGACAAATTGTTGTAATAATCAGCAAAACCAACGGCAGATACCGTATAAAATATGTCTACTTTATTGCAGTGCTGTTCATAATATATAGTATTAAGAAATGTATGAAGACTTACATTATCTGAAAGCGAGTGAATCCTATCGGAGCTCATGGAAGAAACGGCTGAATCACTGCTGGCGTCCATAATATCTTCAGTAGTGTTGGTGACAATAGTTTGGTTGTGATGTTGATTGTAGTGATGAGACGGCAAATGATAATGAGATAACGATTGGTTATTAGCGGTCGACATCTCAATCAAATGCAAGTCTTCTTCGGATAATAAGTCAGTCAATAAGTACTCCGAACTGTTTTGATGGGACAGTTGTGCGGAAGCGTTGTTGACGTAAACCAAATCATTGATATCTGAGCCATAAATAGCTGCAGAACAGCCCAATTCGGGAATGGGTTCGCTTCCATTCGTTAGCGTTGCCATCGATGATATCAATGCCGCTCCGATACCCGACGGAACTGCTTATCAATAAATATCTATATTTAATCTCATGTCATATACTGATTCATTATTTTCCCTATCTTTCAACTACTGTTTGTAATTGTCAAATATATAATAAATGCTTTCATATCAAATGGTAGTTAAAGCTCAATTAAATCTTATTTGAAATAAAAGTTAACTTGATATTGTTTAGAAAAATATTAACCAAAATAGTGATATGCTACAACATTATGACAGATATTAGATAAACAATATAAATGGAAAATTAAAACTAACTTAAGCTTTAATGCAAAAATAATACACGTATAATGGACTTATGGATTAATATCGTAGTATTTTATATGTATTGGTTTAAAAAATGCAATGTATTATTTTATTAGCCTAATAATTTATTTGCATATCAATAATAATTTTTAATTATTCGTTCATATACTAGAAATATTATGCTTAAAATTAAAAACAATCCAACTGAATATAAATCACTGTTATTACAATAATAAGGTATATGAGATATAAACATGGTGGTAAGTTAAACTAGCGCTTATAGAAAATGATTGATTACTTTGCATAATAAGTGAGGTATAGTTGAGTAATAATAAAAATAAGTGCATTAATAGAGTGAATAGTGATACTGACCGACAAGACTGGACGGGTTGTAAGTATTGGTCATTTCATAGCCATTGTGGTCCAGAGGAGTGGACCGATTATCTCCATTAAGATTAGTAGCGCTTGGAGTGGTGTCGTAATAAACGGATGACTGGATCTCTTGAGAGTCGATTGGCATCAATGATGAGACGTTGGATGGATATAAGTGTG